TTATTTTGCTCTTGGGAATTGAAATACAATATTTTCTGGATATGTTGTATCTTGTTCTGTTTGTTCTGTTTTATTTTTCCTTTTTATGTTTTTAATGAGGTGGAAAAATATTGTCCTTTATTTAGGGATAAGCTACATCTACGGCTAAGTAAGTCTATACTTCTACCAGCTCCCTTTTCAAACAAATGATGTACAATGTCACTATGACTGAATGTAAGTGAATATATTGGAAATACATTACTACTACTATTACAACAACCACTAATACTACTACCACTACTACTGTAACCGAGACCCCTGCAGATTCACTCATCTGAAACCTTGCTGTGTGCTACTGTAGGTTCGCTGGTGGAGACTGGATAAGCGACATAAAAAATAGCATTACATCCTGGAGAGCTGTGACTAGTGTTGACCTGAGGAAAAGATCTGACACGGGCAAACCCAACACATCCCCACAGACCACCATCCTTCCTGTTCTGAGGTAATGTTGGTGAATCACATGTTGGTGTTTGACTATGACCTGTGCTGCAGTTAAAGCTGTTACAGCGAATCTATAGAACAGGCTAGGTCTTGAACACAAACAACGGTAACTGAACACTCACTTCTCCTCTCGGGCATCTTCCCTCAGATGCTTCTGCTGGAACCGGAAACCCACATTGCCAGAGAAAACCAGATAGCGATAAACACCAGTTGTGTTGTCTAGGTCCAAACGTCTGTTGTTTTCCTTGACTTCAAATGGTGATTTTCTTCGGGACTCTTGTAGTTTGTCCCAAAGTTGAAGAGGTAGCAGCCGGCTGTTTCTCCTTCTCTGATATAATTGAGCTGAGAACCTCTCACACAAGTGTGTTCTGGTGCTAAAAGTGCAAGTGTGTAATGAGTGGAGGACCCAGGGAAGGTGAAACAGACAACCAGATGGTCCAGTGGTTACTTTTGGTGTCAAAGGCATTATTAGCAGAGATTTTAGACAAATGCAAGAGAACCACTATTAATATTATTATTACTTAATCTGCACAACATATTTATAGCTATATTATGTTTGAATGGCTGCAC